TTAAACGGATTAAAAGAGAAAAAAGAATAAAATGAAAATGAATTGAGAAAATAGTTGATATTAAAAAGAATGGAATCTTATGTTGGCGATGAATGGTTATGTAAAGAATAGTATGATAAACACAACTGAAAAAGTAATAAGCAGAAAATACAAGAGGATGCTCAAACAATGGTTCGATATGAAGTGTGAATGGATAGATAAAGGATAAAAATGCAATAGTTAAGCAAGTAAACAAAATGAATACGAGAATTACAAAGAAAAAAGAAAATATGTATAAACTATAAACCTACTAACAAATAAAAGAACGAAATGGATTGAAAGGAAAGAATTAAGAAAGAAAGAAACAAAACAATGTGAAGATAAGTCAATACATTAGAAAGCAGAATAAAAAACAAATAAGAGTGGACATTGATACTAAAGCGTGGGAAGAATATTTTCAGAAAATTCTGGGAAGAGATTATGGGACAACTGTTGTAAATGAGATTCAGAACAAAGAGAGCGAGACTATTGGCGAGCAAACGCCACCAACCAAAAAAATATATATATATCAGTAGAATAAAAAACTTGAGATGATGTAGCAAATGAAATGATCAAATATAGTGGTGAAGCATTTGAAGAGAAAATTTACGAGATAGTTAGTTACAAAAAATGGAATACTGGAAAGATGTCACCGGAATGGGATATGGGAATGGTAATACCAATTCTGAAAAAAGGGAACCCAGACATACTTAAGTATGTACAAATTACAGAGAAATCAGCCTACTCAATGCTTACGAGAAAAATTACGAAAAGTCTTGAGGAAATGTCAACAGTTATTATAGATGTACTTGTACCAAACAAAAGAGGATTGGTCATTAATTTAGGAGAGACAAAATATCTACGAGTAATTAAAAATCAAGAACGAGCATGCAATAAAGTAATCGATGTAAGGCATTTTAAGTTTGAAGCAGTGAAGAATACAAACAGGACAAAAGGCATACTCGTGTTTCAAATATCACAACATCACGAAGCGTAGAAAAATATCTAGCGACACCAAAATGAGAGTGTACAAAACAGCAATAAGATCAGCAATGTAGTAGTAGTAGAAGATAAAAGATAATTTTAGAAAATTTAAGTGAAAACTAATTTGAAAAATAATAGGGTTAAAGAAAATGCATAACCAAGAATATAGAAAATTACTTAATTATGAAATAATAGAGGGAGAAGGGATAAGATATAGTGAGAACGATAAAGGCACGAAGATTATGATGGTATACGGACTTAAGGACGATGCAGAAAAACAAACAAATGAGAAACTGATACCAATAAATCAAGAGGAAGGCCAAAAATCTGGTGGGAAGATAAATTCAGAAAAGATTTTGCAAATATGGATATTTAAGAATCAAATTAAAACACACAGGCGATTGTAACATCTGAAGAAAAAACGTGGACTGTTTTCCCACGACTAAGTAACTCTCAAGAACTCAAGGAAGCGGCTGTGTTTCCATATTTAATAAAATTAATTAATCCTACACCAATTTTCCTTGTAACTTCACACTTATTTTATTAAAAATTTTGTTAAAAAGTCAATGTGGTTTAATCATCGACCTGCTAAATCCTTTCCAAGGAATACTCAATTATATTTTATGTTGCTCGCCCGATATACGCAGATATAGTCAGTGTTGGGCAGTATCTAGATACTTGTATCTAAATAAAGTATCTAGATACAAAATTAATGGCGCAGATACAGATACATTTTTTTATTTCACTTTTTTTCAGTAGTTATTAGTTGAGTTATACTAGTGGTAATTTTTGATACTTCGTGTTGGTGATTTTGGTCACATAAACAAAAATAGAGGTAAGAGGTCTACTAATAGTGTTCTGTCACGGAAATTTTCATATTGTAAATACCATCACTTCCTACATTGTAGTCTCCAGTACTTATACACCTTTAAATATAATCCTGAGGGGTAAGATGGTATTTTAAAAACCATAAACCACAATTCAATATTTACTGCGTTTTTATGCTTGTCGGGGTAATGCATTTTATCTGTGTACCTGAGCAACCCGGTCCGGTAGGCCCGCCGATTGTATTTGTGTTATTAAATAAGAGTAATTTTAATAGTAAAAATATTGATTTAAGGTATGTTATTATTTTTAGAAAATAATAATTACGTGTTACATAATGATTAATTTTTTCAATTAGCACAAATTAGTTTTGTAATCGAATAATCGAAAATGACAGACAAATGTAGCATCTTTTCCTGTTACCACATGTGTCATTTCTTCACTTTTTCATTGTTGGACCTAACGCGAGGTGGGCTTGGCAGGTCCGTTTTGCCCTAGAATGTGCCGATTATGTTTAAGTGTACTTATCTTGGGCAATAAAATTAATACTTTTACAACCCTCGGTAGAATAATTTATGGTGATATATTCTCAGAAATCGTGAGACGAGATTAAAATAAAATGAGTTTCAACAAAAATCTGAAAATTTAAAGTTGCACTCTGGTGATTCCGGCCTCCCAGGCAGCCTTTGATCCTATAAGGGGTTTAAATACCTTTCTAAGAAATTGTACTTATTTTGCCTTAAACGGAACCAGCAATTCTTCCTAAAATGTATATACCTGCCGCACCGGGATAGACGATTACCGAACATGGTCATAAAAACATCGTAAGCCGATATTGAAGAATAATAATTTATGACAGGTTGCCGACAACAGACCTTCAGCACAGAATAATCATTTCCCGTATTCTTTTGAAATATAAATTTTAATGCTGGAGATTATTAGATATACTTAAACACAATTTGGACACTGTAGTATGGGAATAAAAACGAAAAAAATATTCTTTTTAAGCGTACGTAATAAATATTGCACTATTTGCGACACATCAAACAGCGAAGCGATGGCCTATTTGCAGGAACAAAGAAAAGATTTTTCAGGTCTGCATACGTTTGCAAGCAAGTTTTAAAAAGGTCGAATTACAGACACACTTATTACAAAAATATTTTCTTTCGTTTGCTCCACATACTAAGAAGAATGCAATGGATAATTAAACCTGACTGTAAAATTGTGCTCAGCTGAGATAAATAAAGTAAAAACCCAAATAACATGCACGCCTATGAGAACTCCGTTGAAGCTAGAAATCTTAAGTATTGGAAAAACAATTGTTAGAAGTGAAAAGTGATGGTCATAGAAATGTAACCCAACTACAGATTTTGCTTATGAACTGAAGATGTCAGACCATTTTGGGGAATAATAATCAAACGATGTGATAGTTATTTAAAAGATTTTTTTTCATTTTATTTCATTTAGACCTAATCACAGAAAAATGCATTACTTACAAATACGTAAAAATGTTATTTTTGGTCGTTTAATGAAAAGTGGTACCTAATATATACAACCTTTTTCTACAGTGCCATTAGATATCATCCCATGGACACTTTTTGATTTGCACAAAGATACAATGAATAAAATCAAAACTAAAACTAATCCGACTACTTCAATTAAAATTTCGTAAACTTGTGCGGCAAATACATCAACCATAAAGAAATTAAAAATGTTCGTACAATAATAAAACCAAAGTTTATATACTGGACTTATTTTAAACACATGCACAAGTACAAAATATTATCCCTTATTTCATCTAAACTCAATGTATAAATATTTATTTCACTAATAAAGACTGTAACTTTTAACATTAATAGAAATACATACCACACAAAGCATATATCACTAGTCTTCAACAAAAACATATTTGATCATAATTAAGTTAAGCAATAGAAAAATTAAGAGAAGCAAATGACAAAATACTCAATCACTTCTTTTTTTACTATATTTAAAAACAATTTGTACTGGCAATTTGTTACTGCAATTTCTAAAACAGATTAAAAACACTAAATATAAATATAATATTCTCGATTTTGTATAAATCTCAAATATACAACAAAGATAACACAGAAATTCACTTTTTCCGGACCACCGGTGCCTTATATAAAGGTCAAAGGCGTCCATTCTATAAAATATCATTCAGAGTTTATTGTTGCGTGTTACTAAGAAGTGTCATCTAATGATTGCGCCACTTAACCTTTATTAGTGTGAAGGGAAATGTAGCTACTGAAAAAGAAAGGTCAAATCTAATAGGAATCAGAAATATTCACTTCCCATAAGAATAAAATGTTTTGTTTCAAGATAAGACAAACAATATACAGCCTATATTTAAACATTTTAAATTTCATTTCGAAATAAGTGAAAATTATAAGTGATAAATCAGTTTCTTAGAAGAATAAATTTTCGAAACAGTGGCAGTATAAAAAAATTGTATTTATTTTAACTGATCAACATTTATAATGTATCATTGGATATAACCAAAAAATAAAAATTTTCAATCGTGATATTAAAACCTATGTACGTGGTTACTTAATAATATTTTTGAAACGGTTACTTGTTTAATACAAAAATAAAATGAAAAAATACCTAATTACATTTTCTAGGTTATTTTAAATTAACATACTCTGAGTAGAATCAAACAACAGACAAAATATACAATATTTAAGTACCTACTAATTTAATTTTTTGCATAAAACAGTAATTTAGCTTTCGCTCAACATAACCGCTTTTATTTTCGATGAACTTGTAAGGTCTTACGTTTTTAATAACAATGAAAAGTCGTGACTCATATGAGAAAATTGCAGTACTACATTGTTTATCTACTCCACATTGTCTGCATTAACTAAATCAAGATCTTTTACAGGAAAGTTAACCATAAAACACTATTTCACAAATGAAAAACAAAAATGAAACAATTTTTAATAAAAAATGTTCCCGTTAGATATAATTAAAAGAAGCTAAAAACATACGGAAATTCTTTCGCTTGATACATTAATAATTTTATTATTTGCGAACTGTATTTAATAGGAGAATTTTTTTAATTAAAAAAAAATGCAAAATTACAAAATTAATAGACCGGCAATTTTAAAATCTTACTGAAATTAAGTAACACTAATTTTAAAAGAAATTACCTTCACTTCCATAATTCCAGTAGGTACTTATCGAACAAATATCCAGTGTGTGAAACACCGCAAAGTTCAACACCAACAATTTTAGGCAACTTTAGCACACAAACGCATGCACTCACGCATAGTGATTAACTAACATTTTCACAATGAAATTAATCTTGTGAGACATGTTTAAATCTTGCCATTGTAATGGTCCATGAAAACTAAATTACCAACTTATAAGATTCCCACCACCTTATTTTGCCTGTACCCACTATTCTTAACGACATACACCATGACACCTGTAACCTGTAATGTTCCATTTTTAAAACTTGATTAGCAGATCACTTTTTTAGTTACATGTTCATTATTCTTACAAATCAAGGTAAATACGATGCTTATCTGCGATAAAAACCGAAATATGTTCAAATTTTACAAGTATAATTGCATTGTTCGCACGATATCAATGAAATTTCGCAACTACCCTTTGTCCCCAACGTATGAAATTGCTTTTATGTTAGGTCTATTAACAGTTTGAATTTGGGTCAAACAAGGTCCGTGGTTTTAATTGTTATGCTTCACATCTAATACCTATTTTAACACGCCAGGGCATTAACATAAATATTATTACAAAGTTTGTGTGTCCTTTTCGAATTCAGTCATAAGCATAACATACCCGTACGGTTCAATGGCATTTAATAAAATATTCTCTACAGTGGACAATGAACTAAATTACCTATATCAGCCTACATTTGCCCAAACCGAACTCATTTGAAATCAGGAACCAGTTGCGTTAAATAGGGCATAAAATGATTATACAATTCTATAATAATACCTTTGATGCCGTGCACGTGACTCTTTTAGGGTCCCCTACATTTATCAAATTCTAAATTTCGTAACGCAATAATAAGAAAGTGCGAGGCCAGGTTCAAACTTGGTAGAAATGAGTTCTCTTGAAATATTCTTAAACAGACTGGGTAATAATGTTGTAATATTGTGGGAGTAATGAATAATTGTTGTTACATAGCTTGAGAACTGTCTGGTTGACTAGTTGGATCTACATGTTTGGTCCCAAATCGTTTCATTAAGATTAAAGGAATTATATTTATTGCTTACGCTTTTCATTGTATGGTTATTGAGCAACATAATGAATGTTTTTATACAATTTCTTACACACTGCAATCATTGCGAAGAAGAATAAACTCCATATGTTCGAACAGCCAAGCAATCCCAGAGGAAAGAAACCAATTTACAAACAATTATCTGACGTTTAAATTTGAAATTATAATTCATTCGCTAATAAGTGAATGTAATTGTTAATTTTTACTTTTCCTAAACATACTTTTTACTCACGGGCACATTTAAAGTTCGAAAACAATAAGCCTGGTAGAAAAATTTAATTAATTATTTTTTAACTTTTAATTAATTTACAATTTCATGGTCTTGACGACGAAATGATGATTTTACGAATTCATGTAACCTAAACTCATTTCAACATAAAATCTTGCTCATCTTCTAATTAGCAATAGGTATCTAGATGCATATTAAAGAAATATCTTGTTAAACTTTTCTCAATCTTCAGAATCTGGTAATAAACCCATTATTATCAGTATTATGAATCTGGGTTAATTAGACTATTAAAACAAAAGTATTTTAGATAAAGTAAAGAATATTGTGCAACAATTAACTAAAACGACTGTAACGTTACTAATGAAATAATTTCATCCCAGAAACTTCAAGATTAAATTGCGTTTAATATTTATAGGTACGCCTCGTCAACACGAACTAGATAGTAAACTTTAAACATAATATATCATTTAAATTGCAATGTTATGCTGCTTAAATTATAACTAGCGTAAAACTCTTGACGAAATATATATCTTCTATAGAATTTATTTATTAAATTCTTAAAATGGAAACGAGTATTGATTCTTGGCATACAAATTAATTTCAAACCACCACAATAACGTAACCGCTCCCTGCCACAAGTATCTAGAAAATTAAAATTTTAATGTATATACGCAATAGCTAATTTGCGTTTTTTGCATTAATTTATTATATTGTAAAATTATTCCAGCTTACACATTATCACAGTTAACTCACATATGCTAAATGTATAGTATGTCCCACTTTTTATGAAGACACCTCCATATTTTAAAGTTATTTTGAAACTTCTGAAAAAAAACGTTCCGATTCTGTCAGCTGAATCGTTTGGATTTAAAAACTATTTAAAAATTCTACTTTCTCGCCAAAAATAATACCTTAATAATAATGGTCGATTGTACAAACTATGTAGTCGCAATTATTTGTGAAAACAAAATGTGTGCAGCGTTGTGTCAAAGCTGTAACTAATTGCTAAACATGTCACCACTAACACTAAAATAAGTTAAGTAATTATGAATTTTAGAGGTAAATGTAGTTTTATTAGTTTATTTCCCGAGTTTACGCTAAAGAAATGTATATTTTAATAAGAGCATTTTGATGAATATCTAATTTCATGTTTTTTCGACGTTTCACAGCGTGTGGATATATGAAAATATAGGGCTTCCGTTTATGTGTGTTTGTTTGGCAATTTAATAAGACATATAATTTTTGAAACTCCCCAGCCATGTAATGTTTAAAACAAATACAATCTTTCTACAATATTTTGTGGTCATAGTTTATGAACCAAATATGCAGAGGCTTTGAATTTTATTTTATTCAGAAAATAAAGGCTAAAAAGATTTTATTTTATGCAATAGTAATTTATCTTCGTTCATATCAAACTTGGCCAAAATTTTTACTAGTACGATTACGAATACAGTCACCAATTAAGTGTTTTAGGAATGATTTATTTGAAATAAACAAGATTTAACTCTAAGTTTCATTGATAAGAGTGGCAGGAGCACTCTGGTGTTAAAAACTGCTGTCATTTAATTTTTTCAGTGACATAAAACCGGCGTGAAGCAACTAAATATAAGTGTAGATAAGCGCGCAACAGGCAAAACTAAATGAATACTATTTAAAAACGAAAGTGATTTCGTTCATAAAATATTATTATTAACTACTGTCTCCAAGTTGAACTACGTAATTTTTTTTGTTTATATAGTAACTGCACTGTCGAAATTACTAAAAAATCTGTTACATAATTTTTATAACTAAGTACATTACACATAGTTACAAATAAATAAATTAATTTCAGCATGACTTTTATTATTATTTGTGTGGCTTCCCAAAAATGTGGTAGCTCAATTTTTTACTTCTGAAATATCGTAAATTGTAAAACACACCAGATGAAAGTTATTAGCAAATCGCTTATCCATGAAGAAAAAAAGTTAAATAACTTTTATTTTTATTTTGATGGTTTTAAAATTTTTAAATAATCACTGAGTATGCATAATGCGGCATGTAAAATTTACAATTTTAATTTATTAATAACTACAGAGGAATTAAATTAATTTTCATAGTAGTGTAAATGTTTTCTCTGTATCACCTATTTAAGAAAGAAAACTGTTCATCGACTGCAAAATTTGTCCAATGAAGGCATGGATACAAAAAATATTTCAAGTTTTTACTTCCTGAGCATAGGCAAAGTATTGTAATCGAATCACTCAGTCAATTTATTTTCTTGATTAAATCAAGAATTACAAAACTGAATACTTTGAAATATTGCAGACATTTTGAAGTTATTGTAAATACGGTCTACCCAAAATGTGCAAAAACAAAATCATCACAATTGAGATAGGGCGGGTGGGCGGGCTTACATTTTGCCTTTTTGTTTCAATATGTGTAGACATCTTTTCACAACATGAAACTTAAAACATGTTGAAAATGGAAAATTTGTATAAGAAAATATCAATTTTGCAACTAGGCTCTATTCCAAAATTTCAAATTTCATATTCACTTGCAAAAATGTACCATTTTAATCATGTTTTTAGCTTCTTGTTGTGAAAATATGGCTATGTATATTTAAAAAAAAGCAAAATATAAGCCCCGCCCACCCGCATGATACATTGATACATTATTTAATATATCAATATATCATGCAAGATGCACAATGCAACTACAAAATTGAGACCTTGGTCCACTCAGCAGATCCAACATGCATACATTAATCACTCCCCAACAGTCACTAAAGACAGTTATTTTTTAGTAATTTCATGAAGCTAATGACTTTCACAATAGCATGATTTCTGAAAAATTAAACTTTTTTTTTTCGAGATTTACATGACATATGTACATCTAGGTCAATGTCTCAGGACATAACACACGTAACTTCGTGACAATTACATAGCTTTTATGTCTAGTAGCACAAGAACTAGCATTAATTAAACCATATACTTAAGTGGAGAACGAACAACCATGACCTTTTATGTCGGGCGAGCAACATATATAATTTGCAATCGAGTCATCCTTGGATTGAATCCGTATGTCTTCTCTGAAATGATATGTCTAAAGCTACGTCATACAAAAGCTTTAACAAAATCAATTTTAATTTCCAATAATTTTGTAAATCTAATACATATTTGAAACAGACACTTAAAAAGACAAGAACTAAAATCCTTACAAACTGATTTTTAATTAGTACTAATTTTAATTTTTTCGTCAATTTATCAATCAACTTCGCTGTGACTTTAACAACTGTGTCAAGAAACATCATTTTTAACCTTCTTTTTCTTATTTTCTTGTGTGTTGCTTGTGGAAAGAAAAATCTTTACATTAAAAACAATTCCCATTGAAGCAGAAAGCGTTTATGATTGAGTAGTAATATTTTCGAAATGGGCAGTGTGATCAAATGAAGAACAACAATAAAATGGCCAAGATTTTCAGTATTTACTGAAAATAAATTTATTTATTTAATAAAATGAATTAATCTTGTACCAGTTTGCCTTGTAACTTCACACTTATTTGACTAAAAATCGTTATAAAAAGTGTATGTCCTTTTTGCATTTTTTGACATTTATCAATGTGGTTTAATCACCGACGTGCTAAATTCCTTCCAATGATGACTCGACCACAAATTATGTTGCTCGCCCGATGGAAAAAAGGTTCTTTAAACTTTTTGGATTACAATTTACAAAAAAAGATCCTAAAGTAAAAAGAAAAAATATACTTCAAGTATTCTGGTGAAGAATCAGGGAGAAACAATGACAAGTATTTGAGATCCAAAAGGGTCTTAAAAGTTTAATAAATTTTATAGACACCCTGGGTAACTGTTTCCAAAAAAAAAAATGAATTTTTTGGTGTTACATTTTAAAATGTATTTTTGCAAAATAATTAGCAAAATGCAGAAATTAATACCACACCTGACATACTTATGTTGTGCCAGTTCAAATAATTCATACAGCAACAAAACAAAATATTTTTACCTACAAACGTATTTAATAGATAGGTAAATACTGCAATGCAGCCCTTTATAACAATGTACCTAGCCTCCAATCAAATATTTTCTGAATTACGACGGGCATGACATACGACGTGTAGTTGGCATCATTGATTAGGAAATAACAATACATCAAGTGTGTTCATGTTTGTTCGTCAAACAAGTTAAACCGAAGCGGGGCTTTGTTTTAGTTATCACTATAAGCTGATCATACGTAAGCTATCTTACTTACCTCGTAGCCAAAGGAATAATTAAGCAGAAAAAACTGCACTTTAACATTATTACTGTAAGCGTCATTACTGAAGTCTCGTACTTATACCACTGAAAAGAAATGCTACTTATTCAAGCATTCAAAAACAAAGGCTTATTCAAATAAGGCAAAACTGAAGCTGCCTATATGTCAGTAATTTTATGAAAGTATTTTGGATAAATTATGTAGTAATAACTACTTTACATTAACAGCGTCAACAAAAATCTACCTCAGGTTTGTGCGATCGTCTATGTTCAGTAACTAAAAATCAAATTTTTTCCAGATTTAATGACATATACCTATTAAGAACATTCATGTTACAATGGTACCCATATAGTAGCAACGTGAAAGGATTGGAACTTAAAACAAGAACGATATTTCAAGAGCCCCATTAAAAATTACCCATTCACAATTGACAAACTGAAACGTTAATACAATGATAGCTGGTGATCACACGTATTGTGAAAAGATGTGGTGTCATATGAGTTATGTGGAGACCAAATAGCTTCTCATGTTATGAAATTGGTTCAGATGTTCAGATCTTTTGTGCCACGATATTTTTTATTATTTTATTTGCACTATATTCTACTCTACTGGTACTCTACTAAGTTCTCTTTCAAAAGTAAAAGTTGCAACAAAAGTTTTATTTCACTTTATACTTAGTTTGCGTAATGCAACATGTTTTACAAATGAATCAAACAGCGAAAAAATGTATGACGACTCTATTAATTGTTAGGAGTATTTGTATTTTATAATGGACAAATATACGCATAAATGGTCGATACCACAACCACTTTCACCAAAGCAGTAGCGTTGTCGTCATCTACAAATTTCATCACATGTATTTGCAACGGTTGCATAAAAATTGAATATTTTTGTTTTAGTAAATCCGCATATTTTTTAACACAAACAGTTCTTTAACACGAATGTCTTTTTTAATATGTATAGGAAACTTAAAATGTATCATTACCTATGGTCTTCGGCAGAAGACGATTACAGGGTAGAAAGAAAAGTTCTTCAAGCTATCGAATGATGTAATTTGATTTTCTAACGAGGAAAACACAATGTCTGGACGTAAGCTACAATAGAATTTTGTTTATAACGACATTATAGCACGACATGTTGACCTTATTCTTACTGTTTCTTATTTAGTTTGTCTCATATATAAACTAATGAACTGATTATCATTTTTAAGTAGTCTCTTTTAGTGAATGTGTCGAAAATGCAGTGATAAAAGATCTGGAAATATCGATGTTTTTATTTCTAATTTAAATATGTTTTATAATAATGCTAGAACTATTGTCTGTTGTACCTACTGACCATATAGGTATTATTGTGTTTCGGTTCTTTTATGCCTTTTCTGGTAACAGTAATTTACGTATTTATTCAAAACAGTCTATGTATATGGAAGTCTTAAGTTAAGTAAATACATACGTGTTTTGGAAAAAACAAAGCATTAATTAATAATAATCAATTTATATCCACACTGCTTTGCAATTATACACTCTACTTAATAAACAAACATACCAAATACACATTACGTTTTAATAAACAATCCAAATATTTTTCACCCTATAATATTCTGCTGACTTTTATGTTATCTATAATTTATCTCATTAACTGTAAATGCAAAATGACTTACTCCTGCTCTTATGGAGAGCTTTACCCATTCGCTGCACACTCCATTTAATTTTATATGAATTAACTGAATCTTTCTAGGCGCTTTGAACCACAACTGCCGCCTTCGCTGTCATAAACTTTCAATTTTTACACGACGCTCTATTTCTGCGGAAACATTAAAAGGTTCCGTTTCTGCTGCCATAACTAACGCCTAGAGGAAGCTGAAGTATGAAAAAATGCAAAGTGAAAATGCCCAAATTCTTCGTGCAAAAGGTTTTCGAAAAATTCAGGGCATACACATGCATAGGAAATGCTTATTAATTTTTCATTCTTCTTTTGACGGCGGTTCCACGCTTGCATATATAAACCTTACTTTTACGACCCACGAGGGCACAAAATTGAGGCATGTTTGTCACATTTCAAAGATCTGTCTTTTCAAATCCTCCATCTACACCTAAACGTACTTAAGATTGCCAATGTCAAATTTACATCAATAATGCCAACTATGCCGCACATGTGATGACCCATTGCAACTCAAAAAGTTCTTATCACGCAGTACGTTTTCAATAAATTCAACACAACCTCATTTTCGTAATGCGTTATTTAATATATGTACTACACTCTTTATTATTATTACACAAAGGGTACAAGGGCAAAACAAAGAATGTCACACAAACAAAAGTTCACATAATTAATACTTGAGTTTTGAACCATATTATTATTTCCTTGAGGCACATAGATATAACAGTTTCAAGTAGGAACTATATTATACATACATCACAGTAATCAACGTAAGACATACAAATTAGTTCTACATACTTAAAATGAGTTACAGTAGTTCTAAACCTGTACGGGATATGTAGGGGGCGATATTTTTGGGGAACCATTTATTTTTACACCATTTCTTTAAATTAGATAAAAAACATGAGAAAATGTAAATGTACCATAATTAAGTTTTCAATCATATTTCTTGTTTTACCTCTGTACCCTTCCCATTTAACATCACTACAATTTAACGCCATGTACGTTGTTCTCACCTAGACAAGTTTCACAGTCTTCTATCTATTAATATTTATAAGCGCAACATTTTTTAAACGTTAAATTAATAAATAAACTTTAAAACTTGTTCTTTACAAATTTATTTAAATATAAAATTCATAAATACTGCACATCAATATTTGTTCATTCCTTAAGAGAATAACTAACTACAATGGTAAGCAATTTTGATAACAGTCTATGCAACCAAATATACAATACTTACTTATCCTAAATACAAAAATATACACATTACATTTACTAAAATAAAAGAATTACTTCAGATCATACCAAAATTGAAAAGATATAGATACAAAATTTCTTCTTTGCGTTATCCAATAGATTTTTACAAAATAAATAATCTCTTTGCCAATGATTTAATCAGTATTAAAATGTCATTCACATAAATTAACACAGTCAGTAGGAATTTATATCTTTATAAATAGGTACTAATTAGTTTTTGTCAGTCTCTAATAGTTTTTTTTTTAATACAGAATTGTGAGATTCGTACCTCTACAACAAAAAACTTACTGATTATGCAAATTCTGTGAATGTATCTGCACGTAGTGTGATGGTAATGTATGAGTTGATACAGGGATTACTTGAGAAGTATCCAACATTAATGACTGACACATTAACAATGGTTCAGATATATCACTGACTACAAATTGAGTATACTGTTGCAAATGTGAGGGTAATTCGAGTTTGATGGTTTCCATTCCCTGAATAGGCAAATTTTGAACCAACTGTATTGTCTGTTGTTGCATACTAGGCAGCTGTATGTTTTCAGGAATAATTTGGCCCTGCAAATTCTCCATCGATTTGTTACCTTCTAAATCTTCCAAAATACTCGTTTGGAATAATTGCTGTGTTTGTATATCTTCTTTTCGGACGAGGTTGTTGTCAATTTGTTTTGGCTGCTCGACTGTTTGTGGATTTAGATTCACAACTTTCGGAGAAGCATTAAGTCCTTTTTGTACCATTTCAGCTACCAGCTGAGGCAACCTGTCATTTGGTTGAATAATAGGCTTTGGTGGTTCTGGCTGAGGTTCACACACATGTACAAAGAAAGCAAAAGGTTTCAAGGTATCCACTTTATGTAAATGGATAAAATTTATCTAAAAATTATAAGCCAATTAATTTACCATTTAGCAAAAATTACACAAAATTTACCTTAACAACTACATTTAAACCCAATCTAATGTGTTTATTTTTTCTCCTAGTGAAGGGATTATCTGTTAAAACTTTAATATCCAAAGTGCCTTTGCACCTCCTCGCATCAAAAAGGAGTTCCTTTTGAACGATTTTCCCGCCTTGTGTCCAACACTGATACTGTTTTCTAAACCTTATTTTCGGACCGGTGTTTGATATCTTTTTCGCCCAAACAGTATTAGTAACTTCCGAGAAGAGATCGACCCATTCGTCGCATAAAGCATTGAAATCCTCACTATTTCGCTGGATCTGAGTACGGAATTTTATTTCGAAAAACTTCTCTTCACTCCACTTCACATCTATTATCTCATATTTTCTGTCAATACGGCTCAAAATATCATTAAATTCCGATTTTGCTTTTTCCTCGGCGGCCATATTGGCAACTAAAACCCGCTATATCGATCGCTGCTAGGTTGTAGTGGAAAGCAACTGTAGCTCTTATGTACGAAGCGTTATGGATCATTTTCGTATGAATTGTTGAAGAGAAAGAAAGAATTGATGCCTTTGTCTAAACAAGGTAAGTCACACTTAAGGGTGATCTCGTCGCTGTCAACTGTTGACCACACCTTACTTCAATGTTGCTTATAGCGGGTTCTCTGGCTTTTCGTACCTGTTTATACCACAATTTCCTCTAAAGCGTGGATTTTTGTCACAAAACTGAATACGGGAGAAATCTGTATAGTAAAAATCAGGTTTACATTAATCACATTCGTACCACTAAAAAAATAAACTGTTTTTCTCGTATAGTTTTGGAAATTCCATTGTACCCTATAAAATTTTATGGGCAATAACGAGACAGACAGTAGTACAATAACAAGAGATATTTACAACTTCAGTTGTCGCATGCCAGTAATCCCCAGATGTTAGAAAACAGAACAATCCAGGTCCGGACAGGGACCATCGTTACTCATGAACGGAAATGACCATTATTCTACGGGTACAAGTACCTGCTAAATGTTCTCAGCAGAGGCTTTAAATACATAGACTGGCTGTTAGTAACATTTCTAATGCATTTTGGTGAAGCCACGGCGCATGGTAGTATGGACGCCATTGCTATAACTTTTATGTCAAATCAAGTGAGGTTGTGGTGGTTAGCAGCAGTAGTTTCTAGCACAGAACGTTTCTAGACCTCGAAATAAAAGTGGTTGTGTGTAGGGACTTCCGAGAATGTTTGTAAATATGGCAATTAAAAATGATTTGGTAACTAAAGTAGCCCAAGAGCTATAAGATTATATGACCATCATAAAAGTAGTTGACCGCAAATAAATACCCCTTTTGTGTGGTTCGCACTAAGCTTACCGGCTGGCAATAAATGTCTTGTAAACATTTCTTGCTTAGATTTAGATATTTAGTGAAAGCCACCCCTGAACAAAACAACAGCTGGTCGAGCTGCAGTGGACATGTTATTTACCACCCTTAAACCTTTTCTATTATAAACAACTTAACTTTGACACAATGGGATAATTTTATAATGGCCACATAACCTTATAGCTCTTGGGCTACTTTAAAATGTTTGCCTTAATTTTGCAAAGTAGTGCCATACATTTTTTTTTTCTACATAATGAACATTTGTTTAGTATGGATTAGTTGGACGTAAATAATTCTCATTTTAATTTATTGCTTAAATTAATTTTGAGAAATTATTTGACTCGCAGAATAGGTTATCAGTGCCGCTTAAGTACTGAGCGTGAAAAAGGTATCTCTTTAAGACAAAAATTCACGAAATTAATTTTGTTTCAAGGACATTACATTAATATTTTTAATGTTATGTCTTTTTTATTTAACAACATTTTAAATTGCATTTAGTGACCGGAAAATTCAAATTTCGCGCACTTTCGGTTATAAACAATATGGCAGTCGAAAAACTTCACGTTTTTCCTGACACAGCCAGTCTATGTATTAAAGTCTCTGGTTCTCAGACAAATTCGGGTGAACTGGTGTAAGCCATAAATATTTCTTACCATTGTATGTACCATGGTAGAAGGAGACATGGTATAGGCTTACGCATCGGGTGTGACGTCAAGTGGGATGAAATTAGCGCGAAATTTAAAATACATTCTTTAAATTGCTAAAATTTATTTGTGATTATTCAGTTGTTGCAGGGGTATGTGTGATGTGATCGTATAATTTAGGTTTGTGGAGAGAACTGAGCATAAATATGTCAAAAACCTCTTTTCAACACTCAAGAGATAAGAGCAAATTGGTATTTGCATTTGCTGATGTCCCACATTTATCGAAATTGATACGAAACCACATTTTTGGACCGTTCAACTTTCAATAATTACATTTTTATTATTATTAATTTCATTAACTTTCGTTAGCCGACAACTAATTGACGTATTGGACAGAGCAATGACAACTCAAACTGAAATTCCCTAGACTTCCCTAGCGAAGCTCACAAAAGTCACAAGGTCGTTGATGCCACCTAACGTCACAAATGGATGCGCAGACGATTTTTAAATTGGTACATCGGATGCCTATACCATGTCTCCTTCTACCATGGTATATACTACTGTTCATCTCGTTATCGTCAATAAAATTTTATAGGGTAGAATGAAATTTCCAAAACTATAATATAATGTTTGAAATAAATTTACGTATTCTGTAGTATATACGTAATATTTAAAAAACTACAAAAGTCCGTAATATTCATTTGTATTTCAAAAGTAGATAACACTTTCTTCGTAATATAATACTAAATAAAATGAAAAAAAAAACAGAATATTATATTCTCCATTCTTTACTAAACTCGAACAGGGGGAAATATTCAATAATGAAATGAATAAAAATATTAAAGAAATTCTTGCTTTAATCTGTACTGAAGCTTTTACAAGTGTTTATATATTAGGTGCAATTGTCCATCATTGTTGATTGCTTTAGAAAACCTTGGTGGCTGAAATTCGACCCTCTACTTGTAGAGCATATTGTACTTTTATACCTTTCTCTCTCCCACAAATATTCGAAACGAGTGGTGTATTAAGAATATATAGATTATATTTGTCGAAAATATTCATCCTTGGAAAATTCCGTCAAATAAAATATCCCTATACAGAGTGACTCAGCAGATGTTTAAAATGCAAAAATTGACATTTATAACTTAACAAGCGGTTACAAAATTTAATTAAAGTAATTGTCAGTGGTTGGAAGTAATTTAGTTACAAGTACATAATTTATTACTGTAGATCAATTCCTTTTCAATTAATGAGTAATTGTAATACATTACTTTAAAAAAAATGTAATGAGTAATTGCAACAAATCACTTTTTTGCGTAATTCAGTCACTTTTACAATTACTTTTAACCCAAATACTCCAAAATATTGTTTTGTTTTTCTCTACGAATCGTTTACCTGACCTGCTGGGATACCGGGTTCGTCCCCACAAAGAGAAGATTAACCCAGTAAGCAGTTAAATTTTAAAATGAGTTTACCACAGAATTTGTTAAGAAACCAGCTAACCATAATATACATAAGCTCTTCATCGTTTTAAGGTTGAGCTAAAGCATATTCCAGCATAGGGAAATATATGCATATAAACTTCTACCCAAGTTTTTGCCAAAAGTATACGTCCGATTGTAATAAACTTCACACCGTTGAAATGATAGTAAAAAACCCTACCCAGATTGCTTTTCCGTTTTTTAAATTTTGTCAAATAATTTTTTATTAAACGTCACGTTGACAAAAGTAATTTGCAATGTTATCAAACGAAATTAAAACTTTTTTGTTAGAATCTTACTTATGAGACAGTTGGAAACCATTACAACTGAAATGCTCGTCCGAGTTTCTGAAAATATGAAACGACGCCTCCGTTTATATTTAGAAAACGATGGGAATGTCATAATTCTAATTTTAAACTGTCAATTTGACATTTAATAAAAAATGTAAATTACGACAAACGGCTTGGCCAACTTTGAGTAACTTCTTTTTCGATCGATCTCTCGGTACTATTGTTACTGAATAATGAGTAATTGTAATGCATTACGTTTTAAAAGCAATTGTCCCAATCATTGGCTATAGGAACTACCAAAGAATTGAATAAAACAGTAAAACAACACTTGAATTAGTATTTACGATAGAAAAAATTGGCGGCAAATTAACACTCGACTGGAGAGAGATATGAGTGATATGATCCAAATCTACCGATGCGTGGACGAGAAACACCTCCATCCATGTCATTTATGTCATCCGATATTTTTTGAGGTTACGTAAAGCGAATAATTTTAGGTTATGATATGAAATTTGTTTTGTGCTCACTTTAAATATCTCGATGAAAATTATTAACGTTATTAAAAGCGTAATTGTAGGAGTGCCTATAGGTGTAACCATATTAGACAACATTGGATATGTGGCAAGAGTAGATGGGATTTCTATGCAACCAGCCCTAAATCCACACCACCAAACAACAGATTATGTTTTCTTAAACCGGTGGTCAGTGAAGTCGTATAACATCAAACGAGGCGATATCATTTGTCTAATTTCTCCTAAAGATCCCACACAAAAAATTATCAAACGAGTGGTCGGAATTCAAGGTGCAAAATATTTTTTTATATGAAAAAAGAGTTAATGAGAATGTTGCAGGAGACATTATTGCTACTCTTAGTTACAAATTTCAAGTAGTTAAAATACCTGAAGGTCATTGTTGGGTGGAAGGTGACCATACTGGTCACTCTATGGACTCTAATAACTTTGGCCCTGTCTCTCTTGGTTTAATAACTGCCAAAGCTTCCTGCATAGTGTGGCCCCCTTCTCGGTGGCAGTTTATTCAATCTTTTTTGCCAGATTCACGCGTCCCTCTTAATCTTCCACAAAAATCGTTATTATAGTGAAGTGTAAAATGCGTGCTATATCTTTAGTTAATCGTCTAGAGTTTCAATTTATGGGCAATGTTGCTAGAAACGCTGTTACTTTGGGCGACGTGGATAATGATGGGTGCAATGAATTAATAGTTGGCAACAATAAAGGAGAAGTTGTTATTTTTAAGGTATTTTTAATACAATATTTACATAATTGACGCTCTACCGTATTTTTCATGTTTAGGGCAAAGAGAAATTTCAGAAAATCTCTGATCTTACATTTGTTAGTTGCGTGGCTGTCGGAGATATTTTCAACAAGCAGAAAAATTGTTTAGTAATTGTTACAGCAGATGGATGGTGTTATATTTATGAAATGTTAAATGAGGGATCACCACAGTGTGAAGAGCCTGAGAAGGTAGATGAAGATTTAAGTCAGGTTGGTTTAATTTAAACAGATAATTGTGCAACAATACATATGTTTTATCTTAAGGTTGATGGCCAAGTTCAATCAAGTGAAACATTGGAACAGAGTACGGAATCGAGCAAAAGTCAGTCTGAGAAAGATGAAAAACCCCAACTGACGTGTGTTCATATTCAGAGAATACCAGCAAACGCTAAGGTACTGATTTAAAGGAGACAATTCACTCTTCTTGTTTCTTAATTTTTTAAATGAGAATATTATTTGTTCGTGGTCATAAACTGGAAACAGGGTGTTTTGATGATTATCTAATTTCATTTTTACTTCCTGAGCTACGTAAAAATAGCTTTTCATTAGACAAATAACCTCTGAAACTACTGGACTGTTGGTTGTCAAATTTTAAAGGTATATTATGAATATTGTATAGTGACAAAACGCTAACCAAACTTTGTCTTGTACCCCACCAAGAATGGTATAACGTCAACTCCAAAGTTTACAATAGTAAATGTTATTTAAATTTTATAAAATAAGTTGCTCCTGCACTTGTGGTTTATGAGTCCGTCTTGAATTCTTACCCGATCCATCTAAAATATGCAACATATTACGAATCTATACTTATCAATAATTTCATATTTTTTAGAATTGGGTATACATGTGAGTCAAAAAAATTAATGAATTAGTCATTCTATTTTATTGATCAAACCAAGAACGGGTCACTCTATTTTCTCGAAAATACATATATATATAATACACTGCACCTATTCAAATTGATTATCTGTTTTTGGTAAAAATGTTGATGACATTCGTATGGAAAAAGTCATTTGAAATATACGCATAGCTTGCTTCTTTATCTGTGCGTTAACAGTCCACACATATCTTTATTTTTTAACAAGTAGTAAACTATATAATATTGTGTTTAGACAAAAAAAATAGTTAACTGTTGAAAATTAATAAGAATTCGTTCAAAAAATGCAAATAGAAATTCGAAAAATATTAAATACTTTGTGAAATGGATAAACTCCTTGTTTATATTTAACAAAAAGTCGTTATTGTGTATTGTATAATGACTGATATTACGCTGAGAAAATAAACAATAAAAACTTCATAGGTAAACCAACCTGGATTCCAACAAAGTCGACAATAAAATCTAGACGCGGAAATTTTCATTTATTTCAGGCTTTTCCTGATCAAAAGAAAATTTTCCTTTAAGTGGTAGACATTGTTCATGACCAATTGACCATCTAAAATAAACATTTTGACCAAAATTAATTCATGACTTACTACTTTAGTCCTCATTAGGGAGGTTAGAATGTTAAAAACACTTATATTAGACACAGTGTCGAAGGTAATTTCCGTATTTTCAGTACTATAACTAAGCACGTTCTCGACTGTAATTTAAAAACTTGAGGGGTGTAATTTTCGGATATTTTGAGGATTTTTGAAAAAAATACGTGTTTAAGAGGATGAAATTTAACTTACTTTAAAAGCTAGGACATCTCTCACTCTTGGTTCTAAATATTGGGTGATTGGTTATTTTAAAATAATTTCTTCTAATTATAGGTAAGGCGACACTTAGAACTATATGTAGAATCGATATTTGAATGAAGCCTACAGCGTGGACAAAAAAATTGTAGGAATCTATAAAACTTTTGTTTTCTATTTTTACCTCGATTACTGTTAATTTCGTCCAAGTCTTGTTGTTTTTTGATTTCTTTCATGTATGAAACATCTTTAGAAATGTCTATATTTTTATATACCTTATGTTTCTTCTTGTTGTTGTTTTTCTCCTAACTTTTCTACGTTTTTACCCATTTAGGTCTATTTTCATAACTACAGTTTTCTTTTTTGTATCTATATGAAGCCTATTTTTCTTCTTTGGAGCGACAATGTTATCTTCCTCTAGAATTTCCTGGTTTGGAAGTATAGCATCCACATACAATGAACCATCTGATGGTATTGCGCTAAAATAACATAGCCATAGATTCTAAACATTAACTACTGCAAAGAAAAAAATACCAAACAACTTCGTCGTTGCTCAACATTTTCTGCTGGTGGAAGACACTGGCGGCGTAAAGGGGGTGTGGTGGGGGCGGTCCGCCCCGGGTACCAAGCACCAAGGGGTGACAACGACAATTCACTCGCACAGCTAGAGAATACTTACAGAAGAACGACTCTGCAAAAGCATTAAAAATTGGGACGGAAGACAAACGGACAGACAGACAGACAGACAGTCGGAAACAGGAGACCTATGTATTTCTTCGTACTCTTGGGGTCATGAAAGGTGGAGAAAATATAAAATTAGAGAGTCGGCCGACGCATTTGATTACAATACTTTCTTTGCTTACGCTTGGGAAGTAAAAATAATGTCTTGATAGATTTTACGAAGAACTAAATCATTTAGTAGTAACATTTAGTGTTGTTCAACCTAAAGGTGGATTTATATAGATAAATTGTCGCTGACGTTGCTATTCGCCGTTGACGTTGCCGCAGCGAAGGTATGCGTCGTTTATATCATCCGTTGAAAGTTGGCACGCCTTTGGGGTGGCGTTCGAGATGACTAACTTTAACTTTCTCCGTAACGTTGTCGTTGACGTTGGGTTTTCAACCAATCAAATTGCGGTAATGTGCAGTGCTGTCAACTTGAAAGAAAATTCCCTAAAGTGGGGGGGGGGACGCATTTTTCTGGTTCACAGCATTAATTCCACGAAAATCAAATTTTGATAGAGATAATGAGGTCCACTAATATTAAGCCATTTAATCATCTGTTCACCGAAACCCGCAGCTGCCATCATTTTCTACACTGTAGCTTTCTATCAGTACTTATGCATTGTTAAAGATACTCTCGACGTTTAAATCAACAAAATTTATTGATATTCGTCTCAAAAACAGATTAGATGTTATAACTACAAGGGCTTACATTTTGCATTTTTTTCTTAAAGTGTAGTCATCTTTTCACAACAAGAAACTTAAAACATGTTTAAAATGGTAAATTTGTATAGGGAAAAATCGATTTTGCAATTACGCTCCGCCCCTGGGTCTGACAACGAATGAAAAATTCATTACGGTTGAGATCGAGACGGATAGGTGGGGCTTCTTTTTTGGTTTTCTTTTTTAATTAATACATTTAGTTTTCTTTGTATAACAGTATAACACAATTATTTAAGAACATAAATATGGTAATGTCGCGTAGAAAAATAAGGATTTTTCAATTAAGCTCCGTCCCTCTGCTCACGACTTATAAAGAAATCGTCACAATTGAGATAGGGTGGGTGGGTGGGGCTTATGTTTTGCCTTTTTTTTTTCATATACATAGCCATCTTTTCACAACAAGAAACTTAAAACATGATTAAAATGGTACATTTTTGCAATATGGATTTTGCAATTATGGCGCGAATCCTAATTGCAAAATCGATATTTCCTTTTACAAATTTTCTGTTTTAAACATGTTTTAAGCTTGTGAAAAGAAGTCTACACATAGTAAAACGAAAAGGCAAAATGTAAGCCCGCCCACCCGCCCTATCTCAATTGTGATAATTTTTTTATTCGCCATGAATCAAGGGGACGGAGCTTAACTGCAAAATGCTTATTTTCTCTACAAGAAATAAAAAACATATTTTTGAGTATCGTGTTGTTCAAAGAATACTATGTATATTCAGAAAAAAAGGCAAGACATATAAAGGAGTGGATAACCCCACTTGATACATTTTCAGAGGTAATTTTCCCCTTTAAAAGTGTTCATGGACACCTAGAATTTTGCACAGTTTCTTACTTTAGCATTCTCTACGATATATACTTGTACAAATCTCGACTCACAAATTTTAATCACATCACTAAAAAAAAAACTAGAATTAAATCAAATATTTTTTCAATAATTTTTTTTCAAAAACTAAACTGCCTCTTCTGAGTACCTGAGGTGGAGGTAGTTTCATTATATATTCATTTTCTTGGATCTCCCCCTGATCTGTAATGTCCGGAAACATAAAAGCATCCGGAATTTTTGGATTCCTTTTCAAAAAATCACAAAAAATAGGGTTAAGTGATAACACTTTACCAATGCAACATTTTTTGTTTTGTTTTTGAGTTGTTAATTGTACTATAATATAATCGTCTATATTTAAGTCTGGTTTAGAACGATCAGTCTTACTATTTTCAGCCTTGAGATTCAAACTAGGATTCAAATCATCAGAATAATTGGAAGAATTCAAACTTTCGGTGTCCGTGCTGTCATCATATTATTCATATTCGATACTACTTGGGTTGTCTAAATCAGATGAGTCAGTTGATATATTATAGCGTCTTTTTTGTTTTCCAATTTGGACTGGTTTTTGAATTTGAGATGCATCTTTATGTTGAAGGCAGGTATCTGTTTCTGAGTTAACTATACTACTATTACATTTCTTATTTTGAATAAATCTTTTGAGACGATCCACACTGACGCGATCCTTTTCATTGTCTAACAGCCAGCAAAGTGAAGACTTTTTTATAACTTTTGTTGTATTATCTAAGCATATTCTGACTAGATCACCTTTCTCAACAAAAATATCGTCACTATCAAAACTTCTAAGGTGTATGTCTCTCTCAAATTTCTTAGATTCGTACGAAATTGTGCAAAGATCATTCAGTAAATCTTCATCTTGGTCAACTGGATCGTTTTCCAAACTTTGAAACAGTTACGTTTCATGGCTATTTGAGAATTGTTGTAATTTTCAATGTGATCGCACTGTTCTTCACTAAACATTTCATCTTCAACTTCGTCATTCCATTCATTGTGTTTACACGGAGGCAAAAGTACATAGTTGAAATCTATCACTTTCATTCCTAAATCTTCAGTGTCACGCAGACAATCCCGTAAAGCTGATTCTACGGTGCTTTGTATATCTTTATCTGAAATGTTTCCTAAGTCATCATTTTTCACAAAATCTCTCTTCATGATTGAACCTTTTTTCCTGATTTCTCTAGGAAAAACGAATTTTTTATCCAAATCGGTTTTAATGTTGTTTATAGTTTGCAGTCTGTCACTTCGATGCAACTTATCTCTTATACTAAAATTAACAATTATGCCAAAAGTTGAGGTCATTGATCTAAGGCTTCTAAACATACTCTCACAAGTTTGAGAGCTAAACTTCCAAGGCAAGAACATATCATCAGTAAGATTTTTGCACGACCTGAACTTAATGAATTTGGTACCTCATATCACAAACTCAATTTTTAAAAACTAATTTGGAGTGAAATTATAAATTTGGTTTGTAGGTATAAAGCAATATCATTTCTCATCGGAACTGCACTTCATTAACTACAATTTTAATATTTGTTAAGCTGAAATATCATGTTGTCAGTTAATGATACTATACTGGAATTTTCTATCATTATGCCCTTAAAAGGTTATTTAATCTCCACTTTTAAGATTAAGTTGATATTTTCTTTCTTATGATGAATGCTATGACTTATGTCGTACATGTTACGTTTATTAGTTCTAGAAAATATCTAGTTTAACTGGATTTGCTATGATGATTTTGGATTTCCTTTGTTTTCTTGTTGATTTCTCGTTAATTTCTCATTGATTTCCTCTTGATTTCTCGTTGATTTCCTCTTGATTTCCTTTGATTTCTTGTGATTTCCTGTGATTTCCTTTGATTTCCTCTAGCGTGTACAATTGATTTCCTCTGCGGTTTACCCCTCGGATAATAATGACATTCTTGACACAACGTTTTATTAGGTTCCATTTGGCGAATAACTAATTTAATGTTTTTCATAACTTTATCAAAGACATATAATTTCTATAAAATAGGGGTCCACCTCCCACAACAACAAAACGTTTGCACAATAAGGTGTCAAAACTTTACTTGTTATTTGAGAACCGCTTATGCACCAAATATCTACTTCTCACCAACAAATATGTGTTTTCTGACTGACTCAAGAAGTCAAAAGAAATCCATCCATGTGTTTGTTTTTGTATTTTTAGAATATCGTCCTTGGCGACATAGACAATGATGGAATGATAGAAATGATCCTAGGTTTAACAGACAGAGTCGTTCGTTCTTACAGATGGTTTAGCGAAACCAGCAAAACTGCCACAGACACAAACAACGAAGCAGGTAGTTTGAATATTGTTGAATAATAACATTTAACTTACTGTTTGTCATTAGAGGACGTAGAGTACACTGGCAAACTGATAGCTCTAAATAAATGGGAATGTGCTAATCAAATAGGCTCAATTACGCTTCACCATACTGCCGATGGAAAACCATCCCTCCTTATAGCTCAACCTGGTGGAACTTTTATGAGAATACGATGTCAATCTGATGACAGTAGTCATCCTCAAGAGACCTTGGAACAAAGTGGATCAAGTGGGTGAGTGTATGGTAACTTCATGTAGTATGTGGCCTATTTAAATTAAATTCGTCATTGCACCCAGTGATAGTATGCCAGGCTCAGCCATAGATTATCAGTTCTTAGGAATCTCCAGAATGAGGAACCAGAATATATCCACAGAAATTCTAGGTGATTTTAAAACTGGTAATGCTGGTAATTTGGAAAATTCACATGATAGTACAAAAATCGCTCAAAAGTCAGACGAAAACAGTCAAGTCACAAGGAGGTGTCCATACGCTGTTGCAACTCTAGATGGTACAATAATGTTAGTTCAGGACGAAGTCATCCTGTGGTATTATTATTAAATTTTAATAATACATTTCAGTTCGTTTTGTTAAATTTTTAGGGCCATTGCGGTTGACCACCAGATTTTCGCGTTGTGTAGACTTGACGTTACCGGAAATGGAACTGATGATATAGTAGTGTGTTCTTGGGATGGTCAGACGTATATACTGGATCAAGATAAAAATTGCGTCAGATTTCATTTAGATGAGCCGGTTCAAGCTTTTCACTGTGGACACTATAATCTTTCAGTAAATGAACAGCCTGTTACTTGCCTCGTATATGTTACTTTTAAAAATACAGTAAGGTAATACATTTGTACATATTGACATGTAATTTTTTCTTTTTAGATAATTTTATACTACGACATCCCTCTTAGCGAACTAAAATGTAAAAAATACGAACCTTCTTTAGAATTATTAAGTGAGGTATATGTGAAATGTCGGAAAACTCGGGAAGAATCGATGGATATTGTGAAAAATTTAAATAAAAAAACGAAAAATCGTTTGATTCAACATCTGCTCTACAATGTAAAGAAATCATAAAGTAGTACAATGTTAGTTTATGGGAAATATACAAATATGTATTTGCATAGAAATAAAACTTTGTACAGAAAACATTAAATCTAATCCTGTATTTTTCGTTCACATAATTTAGGCCTTAAATTAATTTCCTAACGATCACTCAACAGACAGATATTTTTAACTAACCTAAAGATATGTACACATAATTATATAAAAATTATCAAATGATATTCGATGAAATATAGTCCAACTGCCCTTTTGGCACAATAATTACTTTGACTAGTAATATTTGGGCAATCTCATTTTAATATGTTAAATTCGTAAAATTTATTGTATTGGTCGAAACTATACAACTACTTAGCAAATAGCATTACTTTTTAGACTATGAATATATACATCATAATGATATGAAATTTTAAGAGTTGATTTTGTGATCAAGTTTATTGCACACTATTTGATTCGTAGGAGTATTTATCATAGAATCTAATTTTTCATGGTACTGGGGAAAAAAATCTCAAAAACGTTGCATATGACTTTGGGATATTTTCAAAATTTGGCGAACCATTGTATATATTACGATTCTTTGATAAATACGATAAAGTTAACATTTAGTGAAGTCGGCGATAGTTGCAATTTTAATAATCTGACGGAAAAATTAATTATCATTCTTCTTTCCTATTAGACATATTAAAAATGACTGATATAATTAAAATACCACATCATAAATTTATAAAATTTTCATATGAAGATGAATTGTTCTTATATTTTATTGATTCCTGAACATATGGGTAAAAATATTACAGACAAAAGTTTGCGACTATCTCCGACTACATTTTCCTTTACTAAAATTTATAATAATTCATTTAATTATCAAAGCACAACGTACTAGTCATCCCACTAGTTTGACACTCGAGTGTTAAAATATTGAATGGCTGAGTATTAAGTAACATATGTACAGTTTGACGTAACATAAAAGTAATATCCCTTAACTATTATCAAAAACTTCATATTTTTGTGAATCCGTGTTTTCTAAATGTCTTCATTTTCTATCCCAGCTTGAATTATAAAACCAAGACGATTCATCTCTAGACTTTCCCCAACTGGATTCTAAACTGTTTTCCTGCAAAAACATAAACAATTAACTTTATAAAGTTACTTAAATATTTTTAAAATATACCCCAAACTGTGAATGACCCATCGTTGACGAACTGAGATAATCCATATTAGAATAGTAGGGATAATTATTATAACAATTTGTTGACGAATTCGTGGTACTCAGAACCGTTGGTTGAGAGGAAGAACACCACGAACGATGTTGTTCTAAAGTAAAACTATCAATTGAAGCAGGCGACCAAATACTAGAGTTTGCAGAATTTGAATAGGTCGCTGAAGCAATCTGAAAATGAATTGGAACCTGAGATTAGAAGTTCTGGTTGAGAATCACTGGTATATTTACCGTTGGCGAACTAGTAGTGCCAGTAGAGACATGTAACTGGGGTTTTATGTAGTTCGGGCTGTCTCTAAGATGCGGCGCTGCTGATACACTTGGTGAACTGGCCGAAGAACTGAAAAAAGCACTTTTCCAATAAGAAAGAGCTTTTTTATTATTACAAATACTAAAAAAGTGATTATTAAGATGTTTTTAAAACAAGAGTATGAAGCTGCTACAACTTTTGCTCAAGAAATATTGATAAGAAATATTTACCTGGTGCTGGTGTTGTTGTTTATTGAAACTGGTGTTGGAGAAGTCTTCGTTAAGATAGTAGTAGCAGCTTTGTTTTTTAATTTGGTGGTTTTCTCCACATTTTGTTGCTGATTATGTTGCTTCTGTTGCTGCCGACACTTTGCTCGTCTATTTTTAAACCATACCTATAACATTTTGCAAAAAATGTTTATTCATTTATTTTAATGAAATCTTTCTGTCTTAAATTAAGTGGGCACTACGTACGAATAATATTCCAACAGTCTGATGGTGGGAGATAACCCGTTATATGTAACGTGTTAAAAAATGCATTCTTAATACAAATTTGGATACACCGCATGAAATTATTTGTTGCTACGCACGGATTCATTAAATCTGGTCAGCTTATTCAGTATTTTAACACTATCCATTTAGGTATACTGGTAATACACAGGTTGTTCTAGATTAAAAACTCTGATTTTACCACTTTTTTAAATTTCTCCTTAAATAGATAAGAAATTAATACAAATTTTCATCTCTTTATTTGTAGTATCATTATTATTTTTATGAGAAGAAAATCAACAGGAGTAAACAACAATTAGAACTAAATTTAAACCACGACAGAAGATTCAAAACATAAAATAGTAGAGACATGAGAACGAAAAGAAATTAGCAATATTTTTTAATGACGTTATCAATGGGGGAGGGGGAATGGATAGAATTATTCTGTAATTTATTATTTGGTGACAAAAATTACTGTTTGAACATGTCATTATGCAGATATTAATTAGAACACGCGAATGTGTGTTCGTCGCATAAGCGTTAAACACAATATTTCCTGTAATGGTAAATAATTCTAGGTTATGATTAAGATTTATTAATTGTGGCCCTTGGCAAAATGAATATCTGTCTAAAGTCTGTTTTATAAAAATTCCGCGAAGTAGAATCGGTTGGTAGGTAAGTATTATATACATATTTTAAAAGTCTTCCATAATGCTGAAGTTATCATATGCAGTATTATATGAGGTGAATCCTGATATTGATATGGAGTGTTCGTCACTTCATAACTAGAAATCGATAGACTTCGTGTCACATTGTAACAAAAGGAATCCTTACAATTGCTGCAACCGAGAATAGAATTGTTGTACCATGCAGATAAAGGTTTCTCTGTTTAATCTACTGACGATTTTTCAATATTCCTTATGTTACAGAAGGCTGTTAAATACGAATGAAGAACAACTGTTTAGGGCGCGAAAGAAGTTTTTGAATTAACGATTATGTTGGATGGTGTCACATCAAAGTTGTTAAAACCGGTAGAATCTATATAAAGAAAGAAGGTAAAGCGTTAAAGCGGAATTTGACATCATATTACTTAAAATTCGAGCTAACAGGGAAATACCGAAAAAGTTGGCTAAACTTATATTGAAACAGAGTAGGTATCGTTTATTTTATTAGAAGAAGAGAGGACAAAAAATTTTAGTAAGTACATATATGTAATGCAGAGACTAACATGATGGCGTTATTTTGTCCGAAAAATTTAACGGACAACTAACTGGACAACAAGGCACTAGTTTTTTCGTATGTTTTCAGTAAATTAAAAAATTATTTCAAATTTGGTTTCCCCATAAAAGTAGGCTAATAAATATAATGAATGTTCAAAATTTTTACATTTGCAAATAAAATTTGTCATTTGACAATCGTATCACACACATACATATACGTATGATACTTTACGCAATCAAATCAACAAAAAATCGTTTCGTTTTTAAAGTTTGTTGAATTAGTTTAAAGTTTATGAAATTCAAGAAAAAAAAATCTGATACGCATCTGTATGTTACTACTTTCTACAATCGGGACCAAGTCTTTATCTCAAGGTTGCAGTAAAATTTCAGAATTTCGGGTGTGTAAAGGTCATATGTATACCGTTGTGGCGAATCTTTGTTATTTTTAAAAGCATTGCATCAAAATTCTTTTAAAATTTGACCTCTGGCTTCGAAGAGAGACTAAAGTAAATAAAATGTCTGTGACGTACAATTTATTGACGGTAATACGTATTTAATAAATTTCTCGTTGAAAAAGAAAGAACTGCTCCCACTGCCACTGTGTACATCGTTAACACGTTTTTAAGAAAATTAATTTTAATTGTCGATCATTTTGTAAACTACTAATATTTCCGTAGCACTATTTCCCTATCGAGTAACTTGTGTGCAAGACTTACATGAAGCCGATTTTCCAGCTAGGGTTTTATACCACAACTTCACGACGATGAAATGGAAGTATGTAATTATCAACAAGATGGGCCTACAGCGCATTCGACTAGGACCATAATAAACATTGGGAATCTTTTGACAACAGAATCATTGGTCAAAGTGCAGAGAATGTCGAGATTTTGTGATTTTACTTCTGCAGGCTTTTTTGTGGCCCTATTTAAGGATCATTATTTATCGAACACCTGGTAAAATTTGGAGAAATTAAGGTTAAGAAATTTCCTAATTAACGAAATAAACAATAATACTGTGAGGTTGAGGCATTTATTTGTTCGATGGACTTAAGAAGAGCTCATTAATGCTTACAATAAAATTTATCACTTACTTTATTAAAAAGTGTCAGCCATTTTTGCTTAAACATTTGTAATTTTTTGACATTTATCAGTGTGGTTTAACCACCGACATGCTAAATCCTTTCTAAAAATGACTCGATTACAGATTCCATTTCTTGCGTGATATATGAGTATATGAGGAATTATTAGACGTTGTCCATGACGATGACGTTTGCGAAACGAGTCGTAGGTGAGTGAAGCAAATCATTTGAGTCAATAATGATCAATGACCATAATATATCTTTTTCTACTTCACCTCTCATCGACTGTTATGAGAGGACCGAGAAAAAATTTCGAGTATTGACTTCAAACTTTATAATACAATCGTTATTTTTCTATCTATGTAGTCTTCGTCCAAGTTTATACTTGTTAGCGGTGTTCTGTTTTAAAAATGACTTTTTATCCATTCTCTAGTTTTCAAATTTCTTTTTTTTTCAATAAAAGCAAACCAATTAACTTTGAATCTCAAAATTATGCAGCTGAATTATTGCAAATGCTTAAGGTTATACGTTAATCAAAATTTATTCGTTTATGGCCTCCCCAAAAAATGATGACGTCAACTTACAATACTGCCGAATAAGTATTTTTTAAATTCTTCTGTATAAATCCTTGTTGAGTTTTTACCCTGCATGCAGATTTTTGGGACAAAAAAATCTAGATTTTATAGCAATATTCTACAATTTAACTTTGAAACTGGAAGAATCGAATGCTGTCAAATCTTGCAAATATTTTATGATAATTTGTTCGTCATCATCAATTTTAACGAAAGTTTTTGAAATTTATGAGTGCTCAAATTTCATTTTCTTTAACTGCTAATGCTTGTAATCTGAATGTGCTAATAGTCGAATTGTTTCGAAGTATAAACATAAATAAGCGAAGTTAAGCATTTACTGAGAAATTGAGAATTCTACATTTTTTCCCGTTGTTAATTTGTACTATAATAATTTCTTTGCCTGCTAGTACAAAAAAAAGGTTCATGTTGCAGCTTTCGCGTACATGCAAAACGAGTAACAGGAAATATGTTTTAAGTAATTTTGTGGTTTCATTTTAACGAAACATCTATCAACTACGTAATTTAAACATGTTAATACCCTTATGACTCATAAGTAATCTTCTATTTAACTAATAAATTGTAGGTAAGTAGAGTAAGCTTTCCCTAAAAAGGCAAGGTGGGGCAATGCTTCGTCTAACCAAATCGGTACATTGCGCAACAAATTACTATAATTGAGAAGGTATAAATGACAAATGGCGCGCGGAGGATTGTCATCCATAAAGAAACAAACACACGGGAGAGCAATTTGTCGCCTAGGGTGTAAGGCTGGGGTTCCCTTGGTAAATGAACAATAGCCGTGGGCGAGGCGTGCTTGTGCATTACGTTGTATAGCTAATAAGTTAACGACCGACTCTCAACAATCGTACCATTCATTCTTAAATGGATCGTTTTCTAATGTGGTCCTTACTGATTTATTATGACTTTGCATTGTACATTTTGTTATATGTCCCTGCGTTCTGATTGTCATGTTGGTTAACGATTTTATTGTTGGCACACGTTCAAGATCACTTTCGCTGTTGGACATTTCGATGAGAATATTTCGTAGTAGGTAGGTACAGAGGGTGCAGGCTACGACGCACACACACAAAAAAGGTTTTATAAAGAATTGTGTTTGTTTGGGAGAAAGTAAATTTGCTAGGATTTTAATTATGTGGAATTACTGTTTCGTTTTTGTGATGAGAAGATGGCGAAAATCTCACTCGGTTCTAATATTGTACTCATTAAATTTGTAAAAGTGTGTATAACTTATAACTTGACTTTTTTGTTTTTTTTTTTTGCATAAAATAAAACTCTTTTAGAACGTCGAAACTGTGAAGTTTTAGTTTTGAGGATAAGAACGACAAATTCTTCTAAGGATTATATCTCTGTTACAACAAGCTTCCTAATGTTTATGAAGCAGTTTAGCCAAACAAATACCAAAGATAACCAACAAAGGTGTTTTTCATCATACCAAAGTGTCCCTATCACATAATTATAGTCCCAGCGGACAATACCCAGCTTTAATACGAAGAATTACCATATCTTTTATGACATTTTTATACTCTTCGTTAATCCATTATTTTGGTTTAAATAATTTTTGCAAACAATAAATAAACTAATAAAAACTGGTTTACAGCAACCCTTATCTCTATAAATTAGTTTTCTAGGAGATTATAATAATAAATTGAGCTTAAATGGAACTAACATTTTATTTGCAGGTATTTGATTTGTAGCTTTATAATTTTTTTCATTTGTGGTGTTAAACCTACCAATACAAATACAAAATTCAAGAAATCGTTGTAATTCTAGAGCTGTTGTATTAAAAAAAATGGTTTTAGTATTTTATTTATTTCGGAAATCCGGAGTCAAAAACTGTTAGAGATCGTCGATATGAAGTATGCAATTTAAATGCGTGTTTTGGTTTTATAAACTTTTGAATGTTCTACTGTAAATAGGTACCTACACAAATTTTCATTTTCATAAGGATGAATGAGATAAAAGGAACAATGTAGTTTCAAGAAATTCCATGTTCAAGTATTTTTAATTTTAAAATTATC